TAATCCCAGCGGTTAATTCCAGCGGTTAATCGTCCCAGCGGTTAGTCCCAGCGGTTAATCCCCGCGGTTAATTGTCCCAGCGGTTAATCCCAGCGGTTAATTGTCCCAGCGGTTAATCCCAGCGGTTAATTCACATCCTAGCGGTTATATATCCAAAGGTTCGGGATCCCAGCGGTTAGTGAAGGTGCCAACGGCCGTACGAACATGGTGTTAATGAATTTGTGTGGCGTGGCGAGGTGCCAACGGCTGTACGAACATGGTGTTAATGAATTTGTGTGGCGTGGCGAGGTGCCAACGGCCGTACGAACATGGTGTTAATGAATTTGTGTGGCGTGGCGAGGCGCCAACGGCCGTACGAACATGGTGTTAATGAATTTGTGTGGCGTGGCGAGGTGCCAACGGCCGTACGAACATGGTGTTAATGAATTTGTGTGGCGTGGCGAGGTGCCAAAGGCCGTTCTCTGCCTCCGGACGGGTGGCGCAAAGCAGCCAAACCTTCACTTACTATTACTACTACTATTACTACTACTACTACTACTACTACTACTACTACTACTACTACTACTACTACTACTACTACTACTACAGCTTCTGCAAACACTGCTTGGGCTTTCGGTGCTTCAGCTTCTGCAAACACTGCTTGGGCTTTCGGGGCTTCAGCTTGTGCAAACACTGCTTGGGCTTTCGGGGCTTCTGCTTCTGCAAACACTGCTTGGGCTTTCGGTGCTTCAGCTTCTGCAAACACTGCTTGGCTTTCGGGGCTTCAGCTTCTGCATACACAGCACATAAATAGTTTATCAGTTTTGCAAGTAGATCTTTGCAGTCCTGGCATCCAGGACGGTAAATATAGCGGTTATGCTGTCCTGGCATCCAGGACGGTACGTATAGTGGTTATGGTCCGGTTATGGTTGTTACACTGCGTAGGTTTTCGTAGTACTAGTACTAGTAGAAAGCATATTATGCAGGAGTCTTTGTTGACTAGCTGTCACAATCAAACATATACACGTACGGCGTGGCGAGGCGCCAACAGCCATTACAACTCACGGTGGGCGGCACTTCAAGCAATCAGTCGCAACCAACCAACCGACCGACCAACACTCCAGCACATGCATCAAGCCAGGGACACAACCACCATCCAACACATGCATCAAGCCAGGCACACAACCACCATCCAACACATGCATCAAGCCAGGCACACAACCGACCAACAGGTGCAAGCCTTCAGAGCCAAGCACACACCCGACCAACAGGTGCAAGCCTTCAAGCAATCAGTCCCAAGCACAACCAGCGTTCCTCGAGATTCTACAACTGCCACTGCGACTGCAAACACAGCTTGGCTTTCGGTGCTTCAGTTTCTGCAAACACTGCTTGGCTTGCGGGGCTTCAGCTTCTGCAAACACTGCTTGGCTTTCGGGGCTTCAGCCTCTGCAAACACGGTTTGGCTTTCGGTGCTTTTGACAGCATTATGCAGGATTCTTTGTTATGGGTTTGAACAGTTCAGGCGTGGAACCCAGTTTTTGTTTGCAGGCTTTTGATTTGGAGTTTGTGCAAGCTTTGGCCAGGGTTTAGGATCAAGGCGGATGTTGCGAGGGGGAGCACCTCCACCCGATGGCCAAGGGGGAGCAACTCCACCCGAGGCCATGCATGCACTAGATTGGGAACAAGAGAGGTTTCGGGAATATCGGTATTAAGGGGTGTATATGTGAATGCATCCTCCCTTTTTTGGGGAGGCCTTGGCCCTTGCGGTTTCAAACTTGGAACCTAAACTTGCAAGCTTCGGGACTATGGAATGTTGTTTGGTTGCATTGTTGCAAGTTCTTCCTTAAGCCGAAATCTAAACCCTCAACCCCCAAACCTGAAGCCCCAACTTTGGAAACCCTAAACCCTAAAACCCTTAAGAGACCTGCGGCGTCCTCTTTTTTTTCGGCGACGCGGCGCTTCTTCTTCGCCGTCGCCCCGGGCAAGCGTTGCCAGAGAAACACTTGTTTCGTCAGGTAACGTCTTGCCCAGGTGCGAGGCTGAGAAGTCACGTGGCAGCCGGCCGAAACAATCTTGAGGAACTTCATATGATCCTTATCCAAAAAATTCGCAGCATGGTAAAAGTTGAGCTTGTGGCAGCGCAGCTCATCCACCAAATGCTGCGTGTAATGCATCTTCGGCCGAAGTTTGTACAAGCAGATGCCTTTTCGATGAAATCGTGCAGCAGCGTGAGCATAACTCAGAAGGAACGTATCGAAACACCATTGTGATTCGATAATCTCCTCTGGCTTGAGAAAGGGTTTACTGCCAGTTCCCCCAACACTCAATGCTGCATCCAAGCACCATACCATCGTTGCCCTGCACCTCGACCAATGCACCGTGTCTGAGGGTGCGTCACCAGACACCAGTATTTCCAGTTGACAGCAGTAATAAGCGGTAAACGCCAGCAAGTTTCTGGTCCGACTTGCTTTATACGGCTTGTGAGCTCAGGGTAGATAGCCTTCTTGTTGGCATGTAAAGTTTCCCACGTCAGCGGCTTCATCGAGCAATCCAGGCCACGATCCTTGCAGAAACTTTGGGCTTCCGCAGTCCACCTGTGAAGAAGCTGATCTGGGCTGCCATCGACTTGCAAGAAAGCTGCCATCTCGCCCGATCTCACGGTCTCAACCAGAATGGAAGCCACAAGGTCCCGGATGTAACCCAGATGGGCGAGGTGCATAACTTGGTTGAGCAGTGCATCTTACAGTATTCGAGCACTACATAACCAAAAGCCATAAAAAAGCCATCCAGGAATGCTGTTAACGCGACCTAGAGGCTGTCAAACAGGCGGCGGCGCTTGGTGAAGCCCTTGACTGAGCACCAAACAGATCGTTCTTCTTGGTGTGGCAGCGGCTCATGGTAGCTGCATGTAGAGCGCCACAGAGCTGACGAAGAAAAGTCTGTGAAAGTCAGCTGTTTGTCCCGGCTCGATGCCCAACACCAATCGCATATCGAAGGCTTGTTATACCCTCCAGAGCCCTGTTCGCGCGCAACATGCGACGGGTTCAGGCTTGCGATTTTGCTGCCGGGCGCAGTACTTTCAGGCATTCTTGCTTCTAGAGGGTGCCAACGTACTGGTTTTTGCAGCATTTCCTGCACGTGTCCGGGTTGTTCCCGCAGACCTCTGAGCCTCGAAGAAGCTTCAGCCATGATGACGTGCAGATCAGACTCCATCCATTGCCGCAGAGCATCCATGTGCCAACCATGATGACGTGCAGATCATACTCCATCCATTGCCGCAGAGCATCCATGTGCCAACCATGATGACGTGCAGATCAGACTCCATCCATTGCCGCAGAGCATCCATGTGCCAACCATGATGACGTGCAGATCAGACTCCACCCATTGCCGCAGAGCATCCATGTGCCAACCATGATGACGTGCAGATCAGACTCCATCCATTGCCGCAGAGCATCCATGTGCCAACCATGATGACGTGCAGATCAGACTCCATCCATTGCCGCAGGGCATCCATGTGCCAACCATGATGACGTGCAGATCAGACTCCATCCATTGCCGCAGAGCATCCATGTGCCAACCATGATGACGTGCAGATCAGACTCCATCCATTGCCGCAGAGCATCCATGTGCCAACCATGATGACGTGCAGATCAGACTCCATCCATTTCCGCAGAGCATCCATGTGCCAGCCATGATGACGTGCAGCTCTTCGCCTGAAGAGAAAAAATACAGCATTTTTTCGGACAGTCTTGCGTGGCCCAACATCTCGAATTCATTGGCAGGGCCAACGAATTTGCAACATGCGCGCCTTTGCGCGCGCGCGAACAAAGCCCTGGCGCGTTGTTATAGTGCCTCTGAAGATTGTGTGATTTTGCATGAGCTTCCATATCTCCAGCCCAATATGAGAAGCATGCTCGGATCCCAATGTTTTGGCCAATCTTTTGGGCTCGCGCTGAGCCAGCTGGCCACGGAACGTCGTTGTGGTCGCAGGATGGAAAAACGCCACGTTCCAGTGCTCGAAGATCCCAAGCGATGATGTCAGCGATGCAGCGTCTCGTTTCGGGCGCGACACGACTGTTCGTGACACCAACAATGCCTTTAATTGTTGTTGTCCATCATATACATATATATATATATATATATATATATGTATATGGTCAGCTAGCTCTGTTGTCCAACTAAAAGAATATTGCTAATCGAAAATTTCCGAGGGACAGAAGCGAGAGATCTCGCTTCCGCGGCTAGCCAAAGGCGTGGTCCAAGACCAGAAGTTGCATGTTTCGCTCTTAGTTGTTGGTACACCATCCTCATGAAAGCGTAATGGAAGCATGTCCTGGTAGTTGGGATTGTTCCGGGAGATCTCCCGTATGTAAACCTGGTCCCGTTCTTGCTTCCACCATTCATCTACTGACCTGAGATATCAAAGCAGGAAATGTGCGTCCATGAGCAATACATGCACCAACAATGAACCAAGCAATCAGGCGCGGGCCGAGGTGCGAATGTCCAATAAGACAGGTTTCCACCAGTGATCTTTTGCAAAGCTCGCAGAGAACATCACTGGGAAGACAGAAAGCTGTTTTCTCAAATATCAGTTGTTTGTCCTTGCGTTCTTTGGTGTTGCTCCACACAGGCAAATCCACCAGCAGGGGCTGGATGGGTAACTTCATCCAGCGGAAAGGGCAAGTCCAGATGCCCCATCTCGCCGGAAGGCAGATGCTATTCTGCTTGTTTCGGCCACAGGTATCGCCTCAGAATGTGTGTTCTGGCTGCAAGGTCCAAGAGTGTTGCACACGGACTATATAGCTGACGTGCTTGGATACATCCAAGTCAAGAGTCTCCAGCACCCATGCGCTGGGCCAGTAAAGCTGCACCAGCGGAGTCAAAGTCATCTGCGGTCCTTGCTCCAGTGGCGTGTTTATGCTTATTGCATATATTGCGGTCCCAGCCCCATCCCACGACGACGTGTCGTAAAGGCAGGCCGACCAGACTCTGTCAAGGGCACGTACCTGGCAACAATGTTTTTCATTCCTTCCACCCCATCACGTGAAACCCCGTCAGGGCATCTGCAGCAAGCAATTTTTGGCACCAGAGCGACGATCGATTCCCCAAGGATTGAAAGTCGAGAGCATCTTGTGCACAGCAGCACGGAATTTCTTTCACACTGGCTTGGGTCCTCGAGCCCTTGGGCGAGGACCCTACACCAACTGTACGTTGTCAGTGTCGGACACTGGAAGAAAATGAGATGTGCAAAATCCAGATGGATCTGTTACCAGTAACCTTGGAGTATTCTAATATATTCTAATATACGTGAACAGCACGACATGCCCATCTGAGCACCGACCCCGGGTGCCAAGATTCTTTCTAGGCTCCCTCCGCGGCTTTGCGCTTCTTGGACTTGGCTTTAGCCGATCCTTTGGGCGCGGTTGGATCCTTCGGAGTCGCCTTCGCAGCTCGGATCAAGCTGTTTGCTACCTTGCTGGGCCTCTCATAACGCTTCGCGATATCGAGATATCTGGTAGCAGTGGGAAGATAAACCCCATCATCGTGGACCAGCTCAGAGATGAGCTTGTCCACCTGGTCGTAGATCGCCCTTGGCCGTATAGTACTGGGTTGGGGCCACATGAGCGTCTGTCAAGACTTCTTGTTCATATGGCTAGACCAGGGTAGCCTGCCCTGTGGGGCAGAGGCTCATAAAACAATCTAGTAGGTATCAATGCAGCCAAGGCACTGGAACTCCTGCTCGAAGTTGGTCATCTCCTTGAGGCATTCAGTCGCATAGCTGACTCCTTTCAACTGCTTCCGCATCGAGCCAGCGTGGTTGGCCTTCGCCTTAAGTCTGCCGCCTTGTCCAGCGGCAAAAGTTTCTCCACTCGTGGTGCTTCCGGCTCAGTTTCACCGTCTTCGTCTTTCTCTTTGCCGCTGGCTTCATTTTTCCTGGCTTTCTTTGGTTTTTTGTTCGGAAGTGGCTTTGGGTCCTCCTCCATGTCCACATTGTCCTCATCATCCTGGCCGGGCCCTGTCAGCGCCCGCCGGGGCACACTGAGAATTTGTGCAACGTTGGCAGCGTCACCCGCACGAACTTCTCCGGAAGCAGTGAAACTGCTTCCTCGGATTCCGTTCGCATGAATGCACGAATGCTACATAAATGTTGAAGTCGAACATAACTGCATGCACGATGTATGAATGCAAGCAAGAAACGTTCTTCTGTGCCTCTCGTCCATTCCCTCTGCCACTCGTTGTGCAAGTAAAGCTTGAGCCCTTTACAATTGGGATCATCAACCTCCAAACCAGCCTTCCTTTTTTCCTCCATCACCTTCGCAGCATTGACCGCACCGTACTTGCCGATCAATTCCTGTTCCGTCAAAGGTTTCATCTTTCCCTTTTCCTTGTCCGTCCCCACAGAAATGGACGATGCAGTCCACTGCCCGACCAGCTCATTTTCGTCTCCTCCTGCAGCGACGATCAAGTCGATGGCTTTGCTCTTTGAATCTTCGTCCCGCACCAACTTTGCCAAGTCATCAGGCAAGGCTTGCATCCTCTTTGGGTTGCCTTTCAGGCGATTCAAGAACATGGCGGCGTTCTTTCGGTTGTAGAGTGGCGCAGAACCTTGGACCAAGCCGTCGCTTGCACTGCCAGGCGTTGTTTTTGCACTGCCAGGCGTTGTGATTGCACTGCCAGGCGTTGCAGGAGATGGCGTACCAGGTGCCTCCACCATGCGTGGGGTTGCAGGACTTGACCAACCCATCTTCGCACTGACATCATCAAAGGTCGGGGCATTAGGGGCCGGAGGAACGGCACCCCTGGTGGTAGGGGCCGGAGGATCGGCACCCCTGGTGGTAGCGGCCGGAGGATCGGCACCCCTGGTGGTAGGGGCCGGAGGATCGGCACCCGTTGTGGTAGGGGCCGGAGGATCGGCGTCACTGGTAGGGGCCGGAGCTGGCGTTGCTGCCTTCGGCTTGATCAGTTTTGCAAGCTCATCCTTGCAGAACTGCTTGCAACCCTCATCCCCAGTAGCCATAATGTCCTGCAAGAGCTGTAGCTTTTGCAACTTTGTCGCGTTCATCGGCAAAGCCTGGTATTTTTTTGCCGCCTGTGTTGCCATGTCGACCTGACAGTGGCGGATTTAGGCTTTGGGGTTTAGGGCTGTATAAAATTTAGGGAGTTAAGGCTTCGGGTTTAATGTTGAGGTTCTAGGTTATGGGGTTTATACTTATTTAGTTTCTTACAAGTCGCACGGCCTCCACCTTGGCTTTATCAGCGTCTTCCTTTTCCTTGGCCTTGTCCTTGGCCGATCTCATATGTTCGGCCTCCTCCTTGTCCTTGGCCAATCTTGCCAGCCTGAACTGTTCCCTTTCCTTGGCCAACCTGGCATTCTCAGCTTCCTCCCTTTCCTTGGCCATCCTGGCTTTCTCAGCTTCCTCCCTTTCCTTGGCCAGCTTGGCTTCCTCCATTTCCTTGGCCATCCTGGCTTTCTCAGTTTCCTCCCTTTCCTTGGCCAGCTTGGCTTCCTCCATTTCCTTCGCCATTCTGATGGCTTTCTCGGCTTCCTCCCTTTCCTTGGCTTTCTCAGCTTCCTCCCTTTCCTTGGCCAGCTTGGCTTCCTCCATTTCCTTGGCCATCCTGACTTTCTCAGCTTCCTCCCTTTCCTTGGCCAGTTTGGCTTCCTCCTTTTCCTTGGCCATCCTGGCTTTCTCAGTTTCCTCCCTTTCCTTGGCCAGCTTGGCTTGCTCCATTTCCTTGGCCATTCTGATGGCTTTCTCGGCTTCCTCCCTTTCCTTGGCCAACCTGCCTTTCTCAGCTTCCTCCATTTGCTTGCTCATTTTGCTTACTTTCTCAGCTTCTTCCTTTTCCTTGGCCAACCTTGCTTTCTCAGTTTCCTCCCTTTCCTTCGCCATTCTGCTGGCTTTCTCAGCTTCCTCATGTTCCTTGGCCAACATGGTTTCATCCTCCAGTTCCTTGGCGACCCTGGCAAAATCAATTTCAAGCTCTCGCTTTGGAGATTTTCTGATCGCATCATCCTCGCGTTCCTCGAGCCCGACCTCACGCATGAGATGCTCCAACGTGGCATCAAAGCCATCCTTTGTACCTGTGATCGAAACAAACCAGAACATGTGCACACTGAAGCTGCAACAAAACGCGAGTCATGGATGTCCTTCTGTCTGCAAGTCAGCAGGTGGCAGATCGTACTGGGTCGGCTGGGCGTCCTGGAAACAGATATGGCGCGTATCGGAAACAGGATGGGTTTGGCGGGATTGAAGTCCTGGGAGGAGATGTCCAGCTCGCAGCCGTAGAGCTGAGACTCGAGTTCTTTCATCAGGTCCTGCTCCTCTTGCGCGTCGATCGTGGCCTCCGTCTGCTGAGTGTCCTAGATAGGCGGCAGCATGTTTGTTTGCTTTTCTTCCAGTTCCCTGAGCTGCAGGAAGGTGTCCGAAAAGCCCTGCCCAGCCACTCCGCCAGCAGCAGCCCCCGCCCTCATAGCGGTGTTCAGAAGCCGCCCGAACTTCGCCGGGTCGTTCTCGGCTTCTCCCGAAAGAGCGTCAAGCTGCTCCAGCTTCACTCGCATGGGGTCGTTCGCCATGCCCTGGAATTCCAGGGCCGCCTACGGGAGCCCCTTCCCAAACACCTTGAATACAAAAGATGCTGCCATGCTGACATTGACCAACACGCAGCAACAGAAAGCGGAATGCAAAGATCCAAGCGAGCAGCAACCTAAAGCAATACATTTGAGCAACTTGGGGCAGCCAACCAAGGCAGGAAATTCAATTTTCATCCGCCGCGGGTGCACAGAGCGATCTATCGTCCATAGCGACGAACAATCTCTTCCAGATCTCCTTTGCCGAAGATTTCTCCCGATTCCGTGATATAGGTGAAGTCGTCGGATCCCCAACGTCTCATAACCTCCAGCTGCTTCACGAAGTGGTTGATCTCTGGTTGGGTATAGATCTTCGGAACCTCGGCGGCGGCTGAGCTCGAGACCGCCGGCTGTTGAAGAGCATCATCCTTTTCGGTCTTCTCGGGTGGCCGCGTCTTCTTGGGTTTCTCGGTCTTCGCATCATTTTTCGGCAGCAAGAAGCCTTTCTTCATGGTGTTGGAGGCAAGGGATCCAAAATCTCGAGCACCACCGGCTGCAGCATTGCGAACACCGCCTGGCTTTCGGTGATTCAGCTTCTGCAATCGGTGCTTCAGCTTCTGGCCGTACGAAAAGGGTGTTAATGAACTTGTGTGGCGTGGCGAGGTGCCAACGGCCGTTCTCTGCCTCCGGAGGGGTGGCGCAAAGCAGCCAAACCTTCACCTACTACTACAGCTTCTGCAAACACTGCTTGGCTTTCGGTGCTTCAGCTTGTGCAAACACTGCTTGGGTTTTCGGGGCTTCAGCTTCTGCAAACACTGCTTGGGCTTTCGGGGCTTCAGCTTCTGCAAACACTGCTTGGGCTTTCGGGGCTTCAGCTTCTGCATACACAGCACATAAATAGTTTATCAGTTTTGCAAGTAGATCTTTGCAGTCCTGGCATCCAGGACGGTAAATATAGCGGTTATGCAGTCCTGGCATCCAGGACGGTACGTATAGTGGTTATGGTCCGGTTATGGTTGTGACACTGCGTAGGTTTTCGTAGTGCTAGTACTAGTAGAAGAGCAGGGCCGGAGGAACGGCACCCCTGGCGCTAGGGGCCGGAGGATCGGCAAACCTGTACTAGTAGTAGTAGTAGTAGTAGTAGTAGTAGTAGTAGTAGTAGTAGTAGTAGTAGTAGTAGTAGTAGTAGTAGTAGTAGTAGTAGTAGTAGTAGTAGTAGTAGTAGTAGTAGTAGTAGTAGTCGTATTAGTAGTAGTAGTAGTAGTAGTAGTAGTAGTAGTAGTAGTAGTAGTAGTAGTAGTAGTAGTAGTAGTAGTAGTAGTAGTAGTAGTAGTATAGCAGTAGTATAGTAGTAGTAGTAGTAGTAGTAGTAGCAGTAGTAGCAGTAGTAGCAGTAGTAGCAGTAGTAGTAGTATAGTAGTAGTTCTAGTAGTAGTTCTAGTAGTAGTAGTAGTAGTAGTAGTAGTAGTAGTAGTAGTAGTAGTAGTAGTAGTAGTAGTAGTAGTAGTAGTAGTAGTAGTAGTAGTTCTAGTAGTAGTTCTAGTAGTAGTTCTAGTAGTAGTAGTAGTAGTAGTAGTAGTAGTAGTAGTAGTAGTAGTAGTAGTAGTAGTAGTAGTAGTAGTAGTAGTAGTAGTAGTAGTAGTAGTAGTAGTAGTAGTAGTAGTAGTCTAGTAGTAGTAGTAGTAGTAGTAGTAGTAGTAGTAGTAGTAGTAGTAGTAGTAGTAGTAGTAGTAGTAGTAGTAGTAGTATTAGTAGTAGTAGTAGTAGTAGTAGTAGTAGTAGTAGTAGTAGTAGTAGTAGTAGTAGTAGTAGTAGTAGTAGTAGTAGTAGTAGTAGTAGTAGTAGTAGTAGTAGTAGTAGTAGTAGTAGTAGTAGTAGTAGTAGTAGTAGTAGTAGTAGTAGTAGTAGTAGTAGTAGTAGTAGTAGTAGTAGTAGTAGTAGTATAGTAGTAGTAGTAGTAGTAGTAGTAGCAGTATAGTAGTAATACTAGTAATGTTATAGTAGTCACAGCGGTTATTCAAGTCACGAGTAAGTCACGGGTAGTCACGGTAGCGATATATAAGTCCCAGCGGTTATTCAAGTCACGGGTAAGTCACGGGTAGTCACGGGTAGTCACGGTAGCGCTAGAGCTATATAAGTCCCAGCGGTTTTTCAAGTCACGGGTAAGTCACGGGTAGTCACGGGTAGTCACGGTAGCGCTAGAGTTATATAAGTCCCAGCGGTTATTCAAGTCACGGGTAAGTCACGGGTAGTCACGGGTAGTCACGGTAGCGCTAGAGCTATATAAGTCCCAGCGGTTATTCAAGTCACGGGTAAGTCACGGGTAGTCACGGGTAGTCACGGTAGCGCTAGAGTTATATAAGTCCCAGCGGTTATTCAAGTCACGGGTAAGTCACGGGTAGCAGCTGCGGCAGTGATCGTATAGTAGAGCGGCTGGAACCATGTTGTTTTCACAAACCTTTTTCGAATCCATGCGACAGCAGTCACAGGCCATCACTTAGCCCAGAACGGCACCACTGCAAAGCACCGCCCAAACCGAAGTCCAGCGCTGTGTCTGTCGCATGTGCCAGGATCTGGTCCTGCAGACACAGACGTGCAATCTAAAGGATAGGGTCGCTGGAAGCGTGGATGGATGTGCCTTCATTTGCTGGGGAGATAGATCTCCACTAGCTTTCCAAGCTTGGATTCGCCGCTTCATCCTAGAGCAGTTCGGGATTCACTGCACAATGCAGATATAACACCACAGGAGTTAACATGAAGAGTGTCCCTTGCTTTCTCGTTTCACGACGATGGCTCACCCACCAGCCAGCCAAGACCTGACCAAACCTGTGCGGATGCAGAATCGGCGTTAGTTGCAGTACTGAGCAACAAGCATAATCAGGTAGGTGAGTTGCAGCATTTGCCTCTTTGGGTATTCTTGACTCTTTTTGAGGCCAGGTCCTCCATGGACCTTTTCCAGTCCAACCGCGTTTTTGTACCTCTGGGGCAGGTCAACAAGTATGGTTCATCGCATCCAGAAAATCACTTGCAACCAGGACACCGGATCGTTACACCGTCATCGGTACTGCGTGATCTGCGAGGCGAACCGTTTCGAGCCGCCTCCTTGAAGGTGGACATAAGATCATAAGGTCGTATGTAGAATAAAGCCAAACCGGCTTCTGGGACGGAGCCCCGAAATCACCCAAACAAATGGGATGCCTGAGAAGGGCTGTTCCTTCAAAGCCGTCAGCTTCTCGGTCAAGCAGGAATTGCACCACTGCTTGGATGGATGGGTAGATCTCTAGTTTGCTGCATCTTGGATTTTCCAGCGTAACCCAGCAACCCTTGCACCAGGCCAAAAGCATCAAAGCAGATGTAATCTCTGCCAGTTGTGAGCCTTCACGTATATACTCCTTACTTTCGTCGCCCAAAGGATTGAAACTAGTGCGTTGATACGTTCCACTGTT